TTCACTTTTCCAAGAGGGTAGTGTGCTAAGGGGGAGGGTTGAGAGGGGAGAAAAGTGCAACAATGAATGAATGGAAACCCCCTCTAAAAAACAAACAAACAAAACCTTAAAAAAAAAATAGCAATCAGTAAGCACCATTTAATACACCATATGAAAAGTTCTGCAATTTTAGGTTGAATTCCTTAAGAAATGTTACCAAGTATTTGAAAAAAAAACCAAACTGGTTTCCAAAGCCATCTAGTATTTAGTAGTAAGGTTTGAAGATAGTTTGCTTTCAGAAAAAATTTTATCCTGATCTTAAACAATTACAATATAACCTAATCCCTGCTAAGCTCATGAACATTATGTAGTAGGGAAAATCAAGATATTTAGCCTCTTTCTTTTTTAAGTCTCTTATTTTTGGCAAAATTCACAGAACTAAACATTATAGATCCTCAAAAGCCAATGCAAATACAAGTTCTTTAATATAGGTTACTGTAAATTCAGCTGTTTTTGACAGAGTACATTCTGTTGATGCATTGAATACAGTAGAGTTTAAATGTCTTAAGATGACCATATGCTTTTTTGTATTTGTCCAGCTAAGTACTCTTCTGCTCTACATATTATTATAACTATCAATTATAATATAACTTAGAGGATTCTGCTTCAGGTTGTACTGAATTAGTATTTTCTTGACTTTTTAAAAAACATTCTAGCATATAGCTTGATGACAGATTATTTGTGAGGCTAATTCTTCAGTCACTGCAAATTTGTCATTGGTTTCTGCATTAAACAGAGAGAGTATGTCTCAGTAACAGCAATGATAACTTTAATTGTCAAGAATTAAGGAAAGAAACTATTATATTTTAATTGTTTTGAAATTGAATTTTGAGGTTGGTCTAATGTCCTCAGTTCTTCAGACTTTTGTTCTCACTGAACGACTGTTGTTGTTATGTGCCGTTCAGTTGGAATGGAGTCATAGCTGATCCTCAAGGAAGGTTTTTAGAGGTTGTAACTCATACTGGAAGAGATTGCCCGTCTTTCTTCCTTGGAACATCTGGTAAATGCCGATTGTTGACCTTAGGTTTGGCAGCACAACATCTTGACCACTAGGTCTTAAGATTTTTCTCTATGTACATAATTTCTGTTGGTGCAATAAAGTGATAGTTATTTCATAATTCCCTGTGGATCAGTGACTTTTTTGCATGCTTAACAAGGGAAAATTGATTAATTTCCACGTGGAAACTTAACATTCTCTACAGCCTTATTTTCCTGCAGAAATTCTTCTGTGATGAAATGTTTTCTTTTAAATGTTTACTTTTTCTGTTACTTTGCATTGAGTTGTTATGTGTCATCGAATCACTTGCAGCTCATAGCAACCCTTTGTACAACAGCTCTTGAGCCAACCAGTCTCTAACACAACTACCCCCATTACTCCAGTCACTGAGTCAGCCCATGTCATTGATTGTCTTCCTATCCTGCTGTGTCCCTCCATCCTCTCAAACATAATGTCCCTCTCTAAGGACTGGTCCCTCCTTGAAACATGTCCAAGGTATGTCAGATGGAGCTTTAGTAATGATCCTAATTGTGTTCTAAAAAAATGTATCTGCAGTCACTAAAATTTCATGTGAAGCCCTGGTGATATATAAGATATCCTGTATTAGACATGAACCTGACATGAAGTTGGTAGTTTGAATCCACCAGATGCCTGCAGGAGAAAGATGGACAGTCTCATTTAATAAAAAATTATGATCTCAGAAGCCTGATGGAGGGTCCATGTTGACTCACAATTGACTCCATTATAGTGAGAGAGAAAATGTCACATAATTTTCACACTTCACAAATTACTCTTTTCACTTTTGTAAAATTTATTTATACCATCATTCACATTCGTAAAATCATTCATACACATTGTTTCATTCATGTGCATTTTGGTTTATGCTATCATTACAGTATATGATGTGTTATTTTTAAATAAAAATTTTATAGTCGATTACTTATAAAGTTTGTATATATTGTATTTCACACGAGATCTTTCTCATTTCCTTTACCCATCCCTCTTTGCACCCATCAAATTGTGTGACCCTATGATTAAACCCTTACACCTTGCCCATCCTCACTCGCTCCTACCCTCCTCACCTTGGATCCTCACACATCTTCTACAATAATGGTCTTATACAGTATTTCTCTTTATGGGACTGAGTTATTTCTTTTGGCTTATTAAGTAGTAAAAATCACCCTTAGCTAACAGAAAATGTCAAAACAGGCCGTTGATTACATTTGGTCCTTGAGCTGTAGTTTGCATGCCTCTTGTCTAGAGAGGGCGAAAAATAGATTGCTCTTGAAAGAAATTACTAGGGGTGAAGGAAATAGATGAAATGAATTTTGAAGAATGAGCATGTGTTGGATTAAGTTACAGAAAACCTGGCAATTTATTTCTGTACAGGTTCCAGCCCAGGAGGCCCTTTAGGACAGTTCTGCTCTATCTTATAAGGTGACTCTGAACTGGAATATACTCCATAGTATATAGTAGCAATGGCCAGAGAAAATTGTCAGACATGGTTCTGAAGCACTGGAGAGGTAAGGGTGAGGAGAAGACATTGTAAGGAACTGAAAGAAAGCTGCTGTGGGGAGACCATTGTAAAATGTGGAACCAGATAGACTTGAAGAGATAATTAGGCCTTATCAGGTAGACCATGTTAAAGGATATTTCATATGAACTTGCTTATACTATAGTAATAGATTTTTCCTGTTGAGATATATATATATAAAGAGTGTGTGTGTGTGTGTGTGTGTGTGTGTGTGTGTGTTTTCAGTCCCTGGAGAAGGACACAATTTTTAGAAGAGTAGAGCCTCAGTAAAAAGGAGTAACACCCTCATGGAGATAGATGCATAGTGATGCAGTAATAAGGGCTACTATGGATTGGAGCTGACTCAGCATTATGATAGAGGGAGAAAAGATTGAAGGTGTTAAAGATTTCATCTTGCTTGGATCAACAGTCCTCACCCTTGGTATCAGAAGATAGGAAATCAGGAGAAATATTCCATTGAACAAGTCAGCTGTCAGAAACTTTTCCAAAATACTGAAGAGGAATGCCACTTTGAAGACTATACCTGATTTAGGCTGTGGTCTTCTCAGTCACTTGCTACATGTCAGAGAGCTTAAACAGTGAATGAGGATGACAGAAGAATTGATAGCTTTGAGTTGTGCTGGAGTAAAGTATTGAATAGCCTATGGACTGCCAAAAGAAGAAACAGCTGGAAAGAGTGCAGCTTGGATGCTCCTTGGTAGTAAGGATGATGAAGCTTTGTTTTTCATTCTTTGCATATGTAGCTAGGCAAGACTATTCTTTGGAAAGGTGGAGGGTCAGTGAAGGAGAGGAAGACCCCCCAAAGGGATGCATTGACACTGTGACATAGCAGTGAACTATAGTATCCTAGAGATGATGACGATGGCACAGGATTGAGGAAGTTACAGGTTGGCTGTTCTAGGGTTACTGTGAGCCATACTAAACAGCAGCAAAACAACAATGGCACCTGACAACAACATTATATATAGATACATGTATGTGTATTATGTCCATTGTAATCAGCTAGTTTTTAAAACCTAAATAAGCCATCATTGCTTAGCAGAAGTTCTTTTTATAATGTTTTGATTATTCCCATTTCATTTGTGGTAATAATAAATAAAAATTTCTTGTTCTTTACAGACATCCTATGCACAGCTTCTTGCAGCAACGTGTCTTTCAAAACTTGTTAGCCGAGCTAGTCCTTTACCTATTGAACAGAGGATAGATATCAGTAAGTATTTTATTATCCTTTTATAAAGTTGAACTTTAAGAATAACATTTTCTTATTAAATATGCTGGACTCTTACTAGGCATATAAATGATTTGATTCTGCCTTTTATTTTTTCAGGATGAGTAGTCAAGTCTTCTTTTCCCATCCAGTGATGAACAGTGATACACATTTTTAAAAGCTCTGTGTAATAAAAAAAAGCATTCTTTTAGTCTTATAAAAGATATTAGCTAGTGTTTTACAGTGCTATTTGCTAAAATTTGCACAGTCTCATTTTGTCTTTCAAGTAAATTTATGAGATGGCACAATTGCTATTTTTGTTTTGCAAATGACGAAATTAGACTTTCTAACATGACCAAGGTCATACAGCTAGGAAGTACTAATGTTGTGATTTAAATCCAAGCTTTCTCTGTGGAGTACATATTCTTAGCCATTGTGTTACAAGGAAGGAAGTCAGTTTCTCAGTTTATCTCAAGGTGCTGTCTCAGAATTATGCATGTGTGTAGGAGTTTCCTTCTTACATGGACAAAACTCTTAAATGAGCTGAAATGTTTTTTAAAAATGTTATTTTTGGGGGGG